TAACTTATCGAACGAAATTAACGAGCCGAACACGAGCTTCTTAACGAGTCGAACACGAGCTTCTTAACGAGCCAAACACGAGCTATTCGCGAACAACGAGCCATTTTGACAGCGCTACATACGATTTGTCTCTTATAAAAAAGGGGCATTTACATTATTACCAACCAATTGCCACGCATTTACATATCCAACCTCCAGACTTCACTTTTCAACATTTATGCCAACCAAACATCTCATACCACATAAGAGCAGCCGTATTTTAACTACTGAGAAGTTAAACACACCTTGTTATACATAAGAATGGTGGCATATGCATAACAATTAAAGTTTAGGTGTTAGATATGTACATACATAAAAATCAAGATGTATTTATGTAAATCTTCATTTAAAAAATAAAAAAAATATATTACATCAGGACTCCGAACGTAGAGCTACATTCGGATTGCAATAGTTTGGAATATCCCGCTGTGTTACAGGAATATTTCATCTGCGTTATTTGTAAAAAATGAATTTGTTGATCGAGTATTATCTGGTGTTCTTCGATGACTTTACGGTGTTAGTGGAATATTTCCCCGCGTTACTTGATTTGGAGCAATGTTATTTGGCATATTCTCGTGTTATTTCATTTTCCACTATGTTATTGGAATAACACAACCCCAAATCAAGTAATGCGGGGGAATATTTCAATAATACTTCAGCCTCAAATCAAGCAACGTGGGAGAATATTTCAATAACACCTCAAAGTAATCAAATAACACCACATAATACTCGAATAACATTTCATTTTTTACAAATAATGCAAATGAAATATTCCTGTAATATAACGGCATATTTTTGTCGGAACGTACCTCTAGGTTCGGAGTCCTGACATAACATGCGCTCTAAAAAATCAATCCCAAGAGTTGGAAAAATGAATAATGACAATAACAAACATATGTGCATCAATCATAACATCTCAAACTATAAAATAAGTCCATAATTCCTGAATTCAACTCCAAACAGTCTGAAAAAACAACATTAACAGCACAAACCCAATATGGTTTCAATTTACAACATCTAATTACAGCTAAGAGCTTGAGCTCTCAGTTCATGGTTTAACTGGCTTCAACCGAGAGGATTTCGAGTTCAGCCCACCAGAGTGGAGAAAGCCTCGGCATCGCCGCCTCGGGTTCGATTGCGAGGACTTCTTTGAGCGAGGAGGAGACTTCTTTCATTGTTGGTCTGCTCTTGGGATCCTCATGGATGCAAGCTTCAGCTACCTCACAGATGATCTGTAGCTCATTGTATTTGTTGAAGGTTAGTGAGGGATCAATCAGAGAATTGATGCTCTTCTTATCTTTCAGGTGTCTCATGGCCTGGAAAGTGGGATTAAATTTGAATTGAGTAAATGATTAAAGGAAGATTTACATATATACCATCCAATTCGTATGTACATACCTAACACCTACACTTCAATTTTTTCATAATGCGCCATCATTTTACATTTTTTAAGTTACAATGGTGATATTTTTTATGTAACATAAAGGAATTGGGTGGAATAAATGTTAAAAGTAAAGTTTATAGTTTTAGATACATAGGAATTGGGTGGTATGTATGTAAATGCCCCGTGATTAAAGTAAGGAAAATTTTCATACATACCAGTCAATTGTTATGTATTCCTGTATTCAACACCTAAGCTTCATATGCTACCTTGCTTATACATGAAAATGTGTATTTCACTTTTTTTAAGTTAAAATGGTGATATTTTTTATGTGATATTGCATAGCCCGATACAACCTCGCCGAGCTGAAAGGATCACCACTGGAGACTCACCAGCAACCACGGATCCACCGGCCAGCCACCTCCCCCCACCGGTCGGTCGGTCGCCTCGTCGCTTCAACCAACCACCATGGTCGACCATCTCTTAAAATAAACTATCCAACCAGCCACCTCCCCCTCCAGCCAGCCATTCACTGGCTGACTGCCTCGCCGCTCCGACAGGACAACATGACCGTCCAACTCTTAAAATAAAAAATATATACAAAGATTAACATAAACAATACCGCAAATCTTGTCGACTACTTCGCTCGTCGGTCGGCCACCTCCCTCGGCAGACCGCCTCACCGCTCCAACTGGCGCTCATGACTGACAACACCTTATGGCAGCAGATTTACATAAAATAGCTTGTCGGCCGCCTTCATATCCACCCACCATTCACTGTCTGAGAAACCAGTGTCCTCATTGTGCTCATCTTTGCCACCGTGCAAGGATTTCAACATAATCAATGTCGTCTGTGACGTGGGGCTCGGGGGAGGACCGACCAGTCCTCAAGGGAGGGAGGTTGCCGCACCCTTCTTCCCCTCCTTCCTTTCCCTCTTTCCC